ATGACATCGTCAATAACGTCTTCCATGACAGGCATTGGATAAGAAGGGTTGATGGTTTTCTCGTTGAGCTTGCGATAGTCGTGTACCATTCTTCGTGGAGTCGTCAGGTGGTGCGGTTGGTCGACGACTATCGTTGGAGCACCGTACTCGCTATCGCTCGGCCTTATGATGCCCTTGGAGAGGTAGTCATTCACCTGTTCTCGGATGAACTTGCGATCAGCCGGTGAGCACCTGTACGGCCTCGATGACACTGGTATATTGTCTCTGAGTTCGATGCTGTGTTCAGTGTGAGGACACACGCCCAAAGTGTCACCTTTGGAAGTGAACGCTTGGTGATGCCTTAACAGAATTGCGTGAAGTTGTTCTCTCTCTGCCTCGGTGGCATCCTTTGTTATCTTCCGTGTGGCGTCTTCGACTAGACTTGTGAAGTCTTCGTCGGGTGCGGGACATTTCGTGTTGAGGCGCACGTACCCTTCGTCTTTGGAAACACTCTCGTCCGATTGCCGGCAGAACGTCGCAATAAGCGTTTTTCGGTGCGGTGTGGTGTGCCTTGTTTCGGGGGTGGCACTTCGGACGATGAAAATTTTCCGGAGGGCTCGACTGGAACGATAGTCGCATCGTTTGACGTGTGAAATGTTACGTCGACGTTCGCGACTCGTCGCCAGTCTGATCCCAGAATCAGGTCGATGCCGCTGGGCAGTTCCATTACCACGACGTCTTCGAGTCGCACATTCGTGGTGCCCAGTGTCACATCAAGCGTTGCAGCGAGAGTTGGGCATATGCTGCGGTTGAGAACTTCAATGTTCTCGCGCGATACTCATGCGTGCGTGGGAATGTCGTCCGTCAAGGCATAGGCACTCATGATGGATAAGTTGGCGCCACTGTCAATACACACGCGGACATGTCGGTTGTTAGCAGTACCGGACACTATTGGTAATGTGCCGCCCGTCGAATGCAAAAAACAGTTCGTTCGCCTAGGTGACGTAGTCCCTGTTTCGTGGCTGCTATGGTCCCTCTTCGCTCGTTTCTCGTCCGCTCTGATCGTTGCTGGCGTTTTCGGCTTTCTACAATCACGGGACAGGTGACCGATGTGGCCGCAGTTGAAGCACGAACGAGCAGAGATGGGCCGCGGGTGTGGAGTTCCCGAGAAATCGCTGCGTGGGTTGGCCTTCGGCAAGTTGGCAGAGCTGCTGGCTGGCACCCGCTGGTTCGAACCCTGACCACGGCTCGCTGTAGACGATGACGGTTTCTTGTCGTTCTCAGCACACTCGGTCGTGCGACGCCTCGCGTCGAGCAAAGCCGCTCTGTCAATGAGTTCGGTTACTGTGCCACACAGCTGCGCTGCGAGTGGGTGCTCAGCTCGTCGACGAGTTGCTTTTTCGTTGCATTGGCCATCGTGCTGTGGTAGTGGGTCGTGAACACGCTTTCGACGATGGTCATTTCGGAGTCCCGAGACGATGTACGGCGTGGTGTCGTTTCTTCTCGTGGCGTCGTTTCCTCCTCCGCATGCAGCTCGGTCGATTCACATCCTGTCGGCTGCGCCATTTCAGCGATGTCCGAATGAATGTAGTCAAGGCAAGGTTCAAATTTTAAGAAAAACTGTATTGTGCTAAGTTACAGGTGAATCGGCAGTGGTTGCATGTATAAGGAAACTAGACTCGGTGCAGGAGCTCGATCGGCCACGTCCGACGCGCGTCCCGGCTCGCTCTGCGATGCGTTGCTCTGCGGTCCCGGCTCGAATCTCAGCTCCTTCTCCTCTCTCTGGCGATGCATTGCTATGCGGTCCCGGCTCGAAGGCTCACTTTTGTTTTTTGAATGTTCATTGAACCAATGGGCAACCGCGCCGAGTGGACGCGCTCAGGGCTCGGAGTCCACGTTAACGCAGTGCAGCGTTTCCCGTGCAAGCATGGAGATGCTGCCGGAGAAGGAGACGCTGCCGGAGAATGACACGCTGCCGGAGAATTCAGCTGTGCGAACTCGAGTGCCGCTGACAATTAGCAAACAGCAATGTCGGACACATGTTTCTCCTTCGACGCATGCTACAGCTGTTTGCAGTAGCACAAATTTACGCTTGAGATTTTCCGTTGCGTGTAGTGTTGACGTCGTGGCTTCAGCTTGCATTGTCGAGATCAGTTCTGCCCTTGTTTTTTGCACCACAGTTCTACAAAATGATGTGGCGTGCCGTCTCTTGCATTGCTTGCATTTCACTTGGGCTTTGCAAATACGTGCAGTGTGGTTTAGTCGCGTGCATCTGAAGCATGCTGAATTTTCGGTAAGCATAGCTTTTTTTTCATCCATTCGAATGTTTCAATGCCAGTCTCCGGTGGCATGGTTCTCCTGCTTACAGAATAAGCATATTCTTTACGCAGAGCTATAGAAGCTTGTAAGTTGTGCGTATTTCTTGGTTTTGCAGTTATCCTCTCTTGTTCACATTGCGTTTCTTTCCTAAAAGCTGCTTGCTTTTGGAAGAATAACATAAGCCTCTCAAGCATTTCCTCGCGCTCTTTTCCTGGTGGGTTGCTTCGCTCGCAGTCTTGAAAGCTGGGCTGTTTCTAATAGCTTCTTTTGACTTGAACTGCTCAGATAATTCTGGTGGATGGCTCTTTTTAATACTGGCAACAACATCGACGCATAGCTCTTGGTTTCCACTTTTAGTGACTTGAGTACCAATATATTTACTTGCACTCTCTGTACAAGCCTATTTAGGTCATCGCTGTCTTGAGCATACTTCACTTTATTTAAACTCAAGAGATCATTCATGTGCATCTCAATGGATTGTTCGAAATGGCCGAATGTTGTTCACAGTATTTTAATTGCTTCGTCGTAGTTTTCCTCTGCCGAGTACTGTAGCCCTTCAGTAGCAGCAGCGGCTTTTCCGGTTAGTGATGCTAACAAGTAGTTGAACTTCTGTCCCTTGCTCATGTTCTGTTCGGCCTCGGGTGAATTTCGGACTCGTACTGAGCCCAAAAGCGGTTTCACTTTAAAAACTTTATCATTTCAAGTTTTGGTAGCTTCACTAGCTCCGTCGTGTCCTGTCTTGTACTTGATGACGTCGCCTGCCTTGTCCTATCATTTAAAGGCCAACTCCGGTGAATTTTTGAGCATGTCAGGATAATGGTGCTTTTATGTTCCTTAAACACTCTTCTCACATGCCTGATAACTGAAATGCTCAAAAAATTCGAAAATAATTTTTAATTATCGAGAATCTGCAATACCGAAACCCAAACCCGAGTGCGCTTCTACGTGTGACGTAAAGATTTGCCTGACGCTGCTGGAACCTGCCTGATTGCACATACTGCCCGCCAGATGGCAGTACCTGTCCACGCCGTTCGCAGCAATCGGATAAAACGCTTACGCTGTTATGGTTGATGTATGGCGAATTGTGTGTGGCTCACAACACAATAACACTTGTCACATATCGCACACCCACCAACACAAAAAAGGAAATCGCACGCTCAACCATGGAAGCGCGGGCCAAACCCACACAATCTATAGCAGACAAGCAGACGCTGCAGTGGCACATTAGTTCGTCACTTCTCCCAGGCAAAACTCAACGTCACTCACACAATGTAGCCCCACCGCGGTGGTCTAGTGGCTAAGGTACTCGGCTGCTGACCCACAGGTCGCGGGCTCGAATCCCGGCTGCGGCGGTTGCATTTCCGATGGAGGCGGAAATGTTGTAGGCCCGTGTGCTCAGATTTGGGTGCACGTTAAAGAACCCCAGGTGGTCGAAATTTCCGGAGCCCTCCACTACGGCTTCTCTCATAATCATATGGTGGTTTTGGGACGTTAAACCCCACATATCAATCAATCAAATCAATCAGTCTCCCTTGAGACTGTTGCTTATTCCTGTAATCTGCAGCTGTGTTGTGAGCAACTGTTCCCGGTTAGCTTCATCGCTAATTTGCTGCTTGGCTGCATGATCTGGGAGCGAAGCACTTTCTTTTTCTTCGTTATCACTTTTGTTCCGATGCTCATACTGTCCACCGTGGTCTCGTCGTCTCGTCGCTCGATCCAGGTCGATCGTCTGCTCCTCCACCGTTTTCTTCTCTGCTGCTCCATGGCAGGATGACTTCTGTTGTGGGTGGGGAGGTAGTATCCTGGTTCATGGCACCTTTGTTAAGACAATCTAAACCAGAGACTGCTTTGTGCCAAAAACGGTTTATTAGAAGTGGTGTGCACTCACCACGCAGCAGTCTTCTTTTTCTGGTTTTGATGAGGATATCTTATAGGTAGTGAGCAAATATTGTGGTTTCCTTATATTTAGGATATTCGGGCACATTACTAAGAGCACCTTGTATGCTTTTTGTGTATGTATAAACTAAGGTTGGGTGTGACCTTTGTGCGGTGTATGTATAGACTATTTTACAAACGAGTTTGAGTGCCACCATGTTGGCTGTTAACCTTTGTGTTTTGTATTCTTAACTAAATTATCAATGTTACGGTAGACGCATATGCATTAGAGCGGTTGGGTTCATGCTTACGATATTTCATGGCCTTATTAATTTACGTCGCGATATACATTGGCAGCAGTCTTCTTTTTCTGGTGTTTGATGAGGATATCTTATAGGTAGTGAGCAAATATTGTGGTTTCCTTATGTTGAGGATATTCGGGCACATTACTAAGAGCACCTTGTATGCTTTTTGTGTATGTATAAACTAAGGTTGGGTGTGACCTTTGTGTGGTGTATGTATAGACTATATTACGAACGAGTTTGAGTGCCACCATGTTGGCTGTTAACCTTTGTGTTTTGTATTCTTAACTAAATTGGCAATGTTATGGTAGACGCATATGCATTAGAGCGGTTGGGTTGATGCTTACGATGTTTCATGGCCTTGTTAATTTATGTCGCGATATACAAAAACAAGAAAATGTCTGCTTAACAGCCCAAGATGGTGGCCCCCAGATGTCTTACAGGAAATGGGCTATATAGAAGGCAGTATTCCCTCTATGTATTCACAAACATTAATTGTCTGTGACTTCACTTTTTCTTCACCAGATTATCTGCAAACATGTCTGAATAGCCACGGTGAACTTTGTTACGATCCCGGGCTGCTCTACATGTGGGATGATAGCAGTGTTGAAGAAGAGCGGGGTGATGTGAGTATCAAGGTTGAGGGACTATATATTTAGGCATTCTATTGTTCAAGTTGTTTCTGAACTCAAACGTGTTTTTGTTTCTTCAAGCCAGATACTGATCATTATAGGCTCATTCTTTGTGCAATATATACTAGGTAAGTTAATGTGAGCCTTCAAGTAATGTAATCAACTTCTGTTCACTTGGCCCTGGGTCATTAAAATTAGTCTGATTATTGAACGGGTTGAAAAAAGCTAGAGTTGTAAAAACGGCATAATGCACCGCTGACTCGTTCAAAACTTTTATTGCTCCTAGAAATCATTTTTACAGTTAGTAGACAGCTCTATTTGCCTCTCAGTCAACTTTTTCTGCATACTTTGAAACACATACAACTGGACCCATCACTTTCTCATCACCCCATGCACACTTCAGGCACCTTTGCTCGTCATTTCTTCATCATTTTGCTTCATCCACATGTTCTTTTGGCCATCCACTTCGTAACTTCAGCGTCACAGTGTAGGCCAGGAATACCTCAAAGGATTTATTGGTTTTTGTAGTCGAATTACATTTCTTTAGTCAACTAAAAATACACGCTCCTAATAATGAATATCTGAATTATAATGATGCAACATGTGTTGTATTCTTAATTCATTTTTATTTGTACTGGCCAGGTGTACAGCTCCTTACTGCATTGTGGCTGTATCAGTTTAGACCCCCCAAGTTTATTGTAAAGCTCGTGGAAAACAAAGGAGGCTGTAACATTCTGTGTGTCAATGGCAAAGCTGCATTGTGTTATGGTGTTTTACTGTAAAGAGGTTTGCCTTAAAGAATTTTATTTTTATGAGTTCATCAAGGGTCTTAACTTTTTGGTAATACTCTGAAATATTTTAGTAATTTTTAACTGTATCTGATTTACTCATATTAAGTAGTTTCTCAGATTTTCTGAAGCGCTGATACTGAAAAATGTGTTCTTTCTTTTCTTAACATACAAGCGAGGCATGTAAGCATTAATTTTTTGGGTTTATCGTGCATTCCTAGTTTTTATTTTAATACGTTTGCTGTATAGCCCTTTTCAAAATATGTTTTGTACTCTACGAAACACGGTAGTACTTTCGTATGCTCCAGCAACAATAAGAAAGACAAGGAGCTGCCCATTTGTGACATAAGAGCTCACTTGAGTCTTAGAGGGAGTTGAGTTTCATAAGGAGAAGAAACATAGCTTGCCTCTAGGATAGGGGGTTATTTATGACAGCTGCAGAATGAAGGAGAATATCGTAACTGATCTTTGGAAGTTTGTGGTCTAAGGAACTTCTGAAGGATTGGGAAGGCAAATGCAATTAGTGTGTGTGTATGTGTATCTATATATGTATGTGTGTGGGGGGGGGATGAGACACAGTTTAGTGGTTGTCTTAATTTTATTTCCAACTGTCTCAGCTGGTGTACCGGTCTTCATCAGCGTTTGCAAACCTTGATGAAGACCAGTCCACCGCTTGAAACCGTTAGAAATAAAATTAAGACAACCGCTAAGTTCTATCTCATCTCTTTCTTCCCAAGTATGTTAAGCCCTTTAGAACAATTCTTCAGTGTATATATATATATATATACATGTATATATGTATATATATATATATATATATATATATATATATATATATATATATATATATATATATATATATTGTGAGGAGGTTTATTAGCCGTTAAAAACAGCGACGAGACAGCGTCAAGAACCGTCCAGCGATCGGCACAGCAACGAACCGAAGCACGAGCCGAGAGAGCCAGGCGTTGGCGATGCTGCTCGCTGCAGGCACATCTTCTTCTTCACAATCGCCCCCGCTGAAAAAGGAGCCATCCTGGCGACTTAAGAAGTTTCAGGCAAAGGCTCATGGTACGGTTTCAGTCGGGAAACATGGACGATGTCACGTGCACGCCGGCGCATGTCGTCCGATCGGGAAACTGGTTCAATTAGAAAATTAACCGGAGAGGTTTTCTCCAAAACGGTGTAAGGCCCCTCGTATCGGGGGACAAGTTTCGAGGAGAGTCCCGGTGTTTGGTATGGGATGGCAAGCCACACAAGAGACCCTGGAGCATAGTTGGGATGTGGAAGAGAGGTGCTACGGGTTTCTTTCTGGCGTTGTTGTTCTTCCGAGGTGAACGCACGGACGAGCTGACGGCACTCTTCGGCTTGTCTAGCAGCATCGGAGATAGGTGGACACTCGGAAGCATCAGGACTATAAGGAAGTAGGGTGTCAATTGTATGGGAAGGCTCACGTCCGTAAAGAAGAAAGAAAGGTGAGAATCCCGTGGTGGTTTGTATTGCGGTGTTATATGCGAACGTGACGTATGGGAGAACACGGTCCCAGTTGCTGTGATCGGATGCCACGTACATTGAGAGCATATCACCTAGCGTGCGGTTGAACCCTTCCGTTAGTCCGTTAGTCTGCGGGTGGTATGCTGTCGTTTTCCGATGAATGACGTGGCATTCCGAAAGCAGAGTTTTGACGACCTCGGAAAGAAAAGCGCGGCCTCTGTCACTAAGGAGCTCTCGAGGTGCACCATGTCGAAGGATAAAGCGTTGCAAAATGAAAGAGGCGACATCCTGAGCTGTAGCGCTCGGCAAAGCGGCTGTTTCGGCGTAGCGTGTCAGGTGGTCGACCGCCACTATAATCCACCGATTACCATCTGGTGTCAATGGAAGGCGACCGTAGAGGTCAACGCCGATGCGATCAAATGGCTTGGCAGGGCATGGAAGTGGCTGCAATGCGCCAGTCGCATGTGGCAGTGTTGATTTACGTTGCTGGCAGTCAGGACAGCACTGCACGAATTTACGTACAAAATTGTACATGCCGCGCCAGTAATAGCGATGGCGAAGGCGTTCATATGTTTTGAACACTCCGGCGTGGCCACATTGCGGATCGTCGTGAAGGGAGGCGCATACTTGCGATCGTAAAGTTTGGGAATGACCAGCAACCACCGGCGGCCATCGGTAGCGTAGTTGCGTCGATGAAGAAGTTGATCGCGGATGGCGAAATGGAAAGCTTGACGTCGGAGGGATCGAGATACTGGAAGGTTGGGCGTGCCAGATAAATATTCGATAAGAGAGGCGATCCACGGGTCACGACGTTAATCGGTGGCAATCGAGTCGAGATTTAGCGATGACAAGGTCTGGAGGCAAGTGTTTCCGCTTGCTGATCTGGTGGTAAAGGTGAGCGGGACAGGACATCAGCGTCAGAGTGTTTGCGTCCGCAGCGGTATACGACGCGAATGTCGTACTCCTGGATGCGGAGTGCCCATCGCGCAAGGCAGCCAGAAGGGCCTTTCAATGTGGAGAGTCAGCAAAGCGCGTGGTGATCAGTTACTAGATCGAACGGGCGGCCGTATAAGTACGGCCGGAACTTTCCAAGCGCCCACACCAAAGCCAAACACTCTTTTTCTGTCACGCTGTAATTAGTTTCGGCTTTCGTCAGAGTGCGGCTAGCGTAGGCTACAACGTATTCTGAATAGCCGGGCTTTCGTTGAGCGAGGACCGCGCCTAGCCCGACGCCAGCGCACTTCGGTAGGAGCCGTCGGGTCGAAGTGGCGAACAATAGGTGGGGAAGTGAGCAGACGGCGCAGAGTAGTGAAGGCAACGTCGCATGCAGGGGACCAGGAGGTGAGGTTCACGTCACCGCGAAGAAGCTGGGTTAACGGTGACATGATAGATGCAAAATTGCAAACAAAACGCCGGAAATAGGAGCATAGGCCTACAAAACTGCGAAGTTCTTTCATGGTCGTCGGCTTGGGAAATTCTGCGACTGCTCGAAGTTTTGCTGGGTCTGGTAATACGCCGTGCTTGGACACGATGTGGCCTAGGATGACGAGCTCGCGTGCAGCGATGCGGCATTTTTTTAGGTTAAGCTGCAGACCAGCGTTGGTCAGACAACTCAAAACGTGCCTGAGGCGAAGGAGGTGCGTAGGAAAGTCATGGGAGAAAACCACGACATCGTCGAGGTAACAGAGGCACATATTCCATTTGAGGCCACGTAGCGTATTATCCATAAGACGTTCAAACGTGGCAGGTGCGTTACAAAGCCCAAAGGGCATGACGTTAAATTCATATAGTCCGTCTGGTGTAATAAATGCCGTTTTTTGGCGATCGGCTTCTGCCAGTGGGACCTGCCAGTAGCCAGACCGCAAATCTAGCGACGAGAAAAATTCCGCTCCGTGAAGGGTGTCAATGGCGTCATCAATGCGCGGCAAAGGATAGACGTCCTTGCGGGTTATCTAATTCAAACGACGATAGTCCACGCAAAATCGGATAGATCCGTCTTTCTTACGCACCAGGATGACGGGAGACACCCAGGGACTGTGAGATGGTCGAATGACGTCTCTACGAAGCATATCTTCGACTTGATCGTTGATGACGCGGCGCTCTTCAGTGGAGACACGGTATGGTCTTTGACGCAGTGGCTGGTGTAGGCCGGTGTCAACATGATGCTTGACTTGCGACGTGCGGCCTAGTTGAGGTTGGGACACATCGAAAGAATTCCGGAACTCATGCAGAAGATCAAGCAGGTCGGCATGTTCGGTGGGAGTTAGGGTGTCGGCGATAGCGCTGGAAAACGTATCCTTGGATGACTCCTCGAGAGCCGACAGTGATTTTGGGTGGTCGCAGTAGTCATCCGGGACATCAAACAAAAACGAAGGGTCGAGATCGTGCACGCGGCCGAGACATTCCCCCGCAAGCAATGTGACAGGTGTGGAAAGCGGATTGCTTACGAACATGTTGCTTCTTCCGGCGGCAAGGTCAATTGTTGCGAAAGGCAGCGGCAAAGCTCGACGACATTTGGAGATATCGGAAGGCATAAAAAGAACTGTAGCGTCAGTGTAGGCGTTGCATGAAACGGGAACAAGGGCGAAATTTCCAGGCGGAATATCGGTATCTTCATGAACGAGCAACTTCGGCGGCTGATGAGGAGCGTCCAGTGATGGGACATCACACAAGCGCGAAAACTCAACTTCGGCGCGTGCGCAGTCAATGACT